GCGGGTTGTAATAGTTGTTTATGTCGGGAAGACGTATGATCGTTATATAACCGCTCGGTATTCTGCAGTTACGTGATAGGTGATTGTAACCTGTTACTTCCATTTTATTTAAATGTATTCAACATACCACTTTATGTGTAAACACTTGTATGTTAAGACCAACATTTTTATATACCCTTCAGTTAAAATGACTTGCCACGCTTCAACCTGTGTATCTCGCTACCTCGTTTCAGGCTATGCAAAACAACACCTTTCATTGGTCTATTACGGTCTCCGGGAGGAAATTGAATGATTGTAATAAAGTTATGCTCGTTCAGGATATTTTCTTAAGAACTATCTCAAGTTACGGCTCGACTTGGAAACGGCACGTACACTAAACGAATTATATCCCAAATAGCATCTTGTATTGCGTTAACAATCCCTGTCTAATATCATACTCTTCCAATCGAATGTTCTAATTCTGTGTTTTGTTACAGGTAGGCGAAGTTTTCATAGTGAGTTATGGTAAGTGGTCTGTATAATTTTATTGCGAAAGTAGGTTGTTGACGAGCTAGATTGTAAAGAAAAACTAACCGAGCATAAACATGTTAATTTTAACAATGCTACATTTTTCAACATTGAGCTATGAAACGCCAGTAGATTGTTGGAATTGCCAAGTAACTGGCCATCCCATACAATAGTGTCCGTATCCAAGGAAGTTATTATGTTATAGTGACCGCTAAACCCACCATTACAACGTGTTCACACCGTCCCAAGTTAGGAAAGGTTATAAAAAATCCTACCCAAATGTATCCGTGTTATGCAACCTCAGTTTAGGTTAAATTCTGGTCCATTCCCCACTTATCGATAGGATGGGAAATAATTTCAGACACTGGTTTAAGATTGCAAACGAACCAATTGTGATAGTGCGTGTTATGGTGACGCTGTAATCAATTTAATGGATTCTATTCGTGTTTACCAATTTCAGTGATATCGGATTTGGAACACCCTTATTTTAAGTAATGATTTTTGTATAGCGATGGGGATGTGTCATACTTCTGTTGGTCTTCAAATGCTGCTAATGTTTCTGGTACTCATTAACCGTCCAAACAACGAACCACTATTCAATAAACATGTATCAATGATAACTAATTTAGTCTATAAAAAAGCGTTAGTATTCAGTATCCTCACTTAAACAGCGTATTATTGAAGAAAAACTTAACAAAACGTTGAAGATTATTATCATTTAACCGTGTGATGGTCACTGGTATCTCGCTAAAGATAATTATGACACACACACACACAGATTTTGTGTCAACTAAATAACCAACTAAATGCAGTGACAAGAAAAGACGCTTATCCGTTACCTTACGTGTCCACTATCCTGGACCAACTTCGCAACTCGCAAGTATCTTAGTTCTATTGACATCAAGTTCGCATACTTAGAGGTGCCCTTAACCGAATCATCTTGAAACTCCGTCGCATTTACTGTACCCGATGGGGTCTAAATAGTCGAATGCCGTTTGGTCTCACAAACGCACCAGCTAATTTCCTTATATGATCTAATGTAAATCTTAACATTTCTGGAAAACTTTCGTGCACAATTTACAGATCTATAGATCTTCTGTTTATTTAACTATAAATTAACACTACGATTCTATAACTAAATTAATGAATTAAAATAATGAACAGATCAACTGCATATGCAAGCACAAGGCACAAGGTAACAACGGCAATGAATTTCATTGACGTATCTCCCTCATTTTTCATGACGCCCTCTATCGGTCTTAGAGCGCAATCTTGGTGATCGCCGCTTTGGTACCGGCGCTACATCCACTCCTTCCCCAGTGAGCTGCTCTGAAGATGCAGGGAACGACACCATTTTTCTTTTTGTAGCATGTGACATTCGAGCTGGTTTTGGCGGCGATACCTGAGGATCCTGTAACAGAGGTGGAGTTGGACTGCTGTCTATTAATCTAGAAGTCGGCTTGCTGGGTTCGCAGAATTCAATGAATGCAGGTTTGAGGTCGTCTGTGGAAATTGTTTTTTCTTTCCCATTTACTTCGATGACGTAGTTGCGATCGTTAATACGGCGTTTGACCAGATGTAGACCCGAATACGGAGGCTCCAGTGGGCTGCGTATTTTCCCAATCTTGTAGAACACGTGGGTGCAGGTGCGTAAGCTTGTGAAAAAGAATGGTTTGCTTCCTACGTGATTCGACGCAGGAACTGGACGGATGGCTTGCGAGAGACAGCGCAGTTTGTCCAAAAAAGTTGTTTCAGAGACGGGCGGTTCTTGGGTGCGAAAGAACTCTCCCGGTATTCTCAACGAGGTTCCAAAAACCATTTCCGCCGGTGAGGCTTGCAAATCTTCTTTTAAAACTGTACGCATGCCGAGGAGAACCAAGGGCAGTGCTTGTGGCCACGGTGTCTGTGGGTGGCACATAAGGGCGGTTTTTAACGTTCTGTGGAGCCGCTCCACCATACCATTTGCCTTAGGATGGTAAGGAGTCGTGTGCTGGTGTTTAGCTCCGATTCTACGATATAGAGCGGCAATTAATTTGGCCTCAAACTCCTTACCTTGGTCAGATGTAATTGTGAGCGGTGTTCCAAACATACAAATCCAATTCTCCCAAAGCGCTCGGGCAACCACTTCGGCTGACTTGTCTGTAATGGGGGCTGCGACAGGCCAACGAGAGAAACGGTCTATCACCGTTAAACAAAATTGTAACCCATCCGTGAGTGGAAGCTTGATGAGGTCCACATGGATGTGTTGGAACCTTGTGTTCGGTGTGTCGAATTTACCAAGTTCTGCGCGATTGTGCCTAGAGACCTTGGCACGTTGGCACTTTTCGCAATGCTGTGCCCATCGAAAGACGTCTTTTCTTAGGCTGGGCCAATAGTACGTTTCTTGTATCTTTTTTGCAGTGGCGCGACCACTTGGGTGCGCCAGATTATGAACAGCATCGAAGACTTGACGTCGTAATTGAACTGGTATGTACGGCTTCAATAAGTTGTTATAAGCCACACAGTAAAGCATGTGGCCGTCGAGGTTGAGGGAGCGTAGTTTGATTTTTGACTTACGGAGTAAGTGTGGCAGTTGCTCATCTGTAACTTGGGCCGTCGCTATTGTGGCCGCATCTAACATAGTTGGCCACGCGATTGTGCATGAGCGAGAGAGCGCGTCAGCGACACAGTTCTCTACTCCTGGGGTGAACTCGAATCGTGCATCAAATTGAGCGATAAAATCCAGATGATTTACTTGCCTGGGAGATGCCTTATCTGCACGTTGGGCGAGGGCGTATACTAACGGCTTATGGTCCGTGAAAATTGTGAAAGGGCGTCCTTCAAGGATTCGCCTGAAGTTTTTGATTGCAGCGAACACTGCAAGGAGCTCACGATCATAGGTGCTGTATCGTTGCTCAGTGGGGGAGAGCTTGCGGGAAAAGAATGCCAAAGGAACCCATTTGTTTTCTTGCCACTGGTCTAGGGCGGCGCCAATGGCGTTGCTAGAAGCGTCCGTGCGAAGTGCGAGACGGGCTGCGGGCTCGAGAAAGGCGGCGCCGACAGCTTTAGCGATACTTGCGCGGCAATCGATGAATGCTTTTTCTTCCGCTTCAGTCCACTGTAATTTAACCTGCTTTTTTGGAGCTCCTTTTAAAAACTCGGTCAATGGAGCCTGCAGGTGGGCTGCATGAGGGATGCAACGACGATAATGATTCATCACACCCAAAAAACGCCGGAGCTCAGTTGAATCGAGTGGCTTTGGGAAGTCGAGAATCGCTTGCACCTTGGCAGCGGGTGGTTTGAAGCCGTTTTTCGAAACATCATAGCCTGCGAAAATTACCTGTGATGCGCCCAGTGTTGACTTGGCCCAATTGGGATGGAGGTTTGCAGCTTGAAGCACTGTGAAGAGTTCAATGAGGTGATGCCGGTGCTCTTCGTGCGATTTGGAATGGACCAAGATGTCGTCGACGTAGCATTTGACAAAATCCATTTTTTTAAGGAGATGATTCATTGTCCGCTGGAGGGTCTGGGCGGCGTTGCGAAGTCCCATTGGCATACCAATAAATTCGTACAACCCAAAAGGCGTTGTAACGGCGGTTTTTGCAATATCCTTGGCTGCCACAGGGATTTGATAGAAAGCGCGATGGAGATCCACGACGGAAAATACCGATCCTTTGCTTTCCTGTAGAAGATCCTCTATGATAGGTAGAGGGTAGCGGTCAGGGACTGTGGTGGCATTCAGACGTCTATAATCTCCTGTCGCTCGCCAACCGCCACCTTTTTTTGGTACCATATGTAAAGGACTGGCCCACTGACTTGAAGAAGGCCGGATAACTCCACTTTTCAACAGTAAATCAAATTCATTTTTCGCAGCTGCTAGACGCTTTCCAGACAGGCGACGGGGACGGTCAAAAACTGGATGTCCATTAGTAACAATGACGTGTTGTACTGGAAAGTCGGACAGGACTGCCATCGTTTTGCGATTAGCCGGCGAGCTCTGGAACTCACGGACAAGCCGCGCATAAACGGACCCAAGGTCACCGTCGGGCACACTGACACCTGGAGCAATTGCCACGCTATGCACTTGTGCTGGCGCGAGTTGAGCAGGAGTCGATAGTGATGTTAGCGGGTCGATAATGCATTTTTGTCGCAAGTCGATGATAAGGCCAAAATTCTGCAGAAAATCGGCTCCAAGGATTGCCAATTGGACGTCAGCAATGGTGAAGTGCCAGGTAAAATCTCGCCGGAGACCAATATTCAGTGATAATTCTTTCGTGCCATAAGTTGCGATGACAGAAGAATTGGCTGCGTGCAGGTCCAGCTCTTGCCGTGGAAGGCGCTTTGATATCGCCTTTCTGGGGATGAGTGAGATTACGGATCCGGAGTCCACTAGGAATCGCATGGATGTGCGTTTATCTGTGACAAGAAGGCGGTTTTCAATGAGTAACTCACCAACGGCGACCACCTTATGCGGCGTCGGTGGACCTAGTTTTCCGAAGCCTTGGCGTATGAACATGGGGAGTGACAATATTTCGCCTGCAAGCCAAATCGATTATGATACCAGCACACGCGTTCAGATCGAGCAGATGTGGAAGAGCTCTCCCGCGCTTGAGATGGCGTCCGTGAGCGACTGCGACCTCTTCGTGGCCCAACTGATGTGCGCGGAGCACCTGCCACCAGCGACTTGATATTTGCGGTTAGCTGATTGATTGAAGTGCGCAATGAAACCAACTCGGCGGCAACCATATCGGCCTGCGGGTGCGATGGTTTGAATGGCTGCGTCACGGCTGCCAGGTTGGAGCTGCTGGTTGATGTGGACACCACTGTCGGGTTGAGGTCCTCAATTTCGTCGGCGGCAACTGCCAATTCCTCGAGATTGGATGCTTTAAATACCTGCAGCAAACGTCGCGTGGTTGGCGGCAATAAGTCGAGCCATTTTACACGAAGGACATCATTTGAAGCGCGATCTCCGGCTAAAAGCTGCATTTGCCGTAGTAGCTGTGAGGGCTTGCGGTCGCCCAGCTCGAGACCTGTAAGAGCTTTGTGCAATTGCCTATCAGCGGAGTCCATCAAGCGTGCAAGTATCGCGGTTTTAAGGGCGGTATATTTGTCTGCAGTCGGGGGCGAACGCAAAATGTCTGCAACTTCGACTACCGTATTGGGATCAAGGTTCGCCACAGCTAGATTGTATTTTGTAGAGTCTGTTGTGATACGGTGTACAGCGAAGACGGCTTCGACTTGTACAAACCAAAGTTCAGGATTCGCGCGCCAGAACGGTGGCAATTTACAACGATCCACGGAAACAGCGGTTGGCACATTTTCAGTAGCCGCGGGAGGTTGACCGGGAAGATTATCGTTTGGCATATTAGGTCGTTATTTAAAATTATCTTTAAACGACGAATCGACAAGATGGCGTGTCTTTATCAGAATACCGCAGACAATTGCGCGAAGGCGAGATAACCGAATTTTTAATCGTGTTGTTCACATAGGTATATAACTCGTTTTTTAATCGGGGTCACCACTATAGATCTTCTGTTTATTTAACTATAAATTAACACTACGATTCTATAACTAAATTAATGAATTAAAATAATGAACAGATCAACTGCATATGCAAGCACAAGGCACAAGGTAACAACGGCAATGAATTTCATTGACGTATCTCCCTCATTTTTCATGACGCCCTCTATCGGTCTTAGAGCGCAATCTTGGTGATCGCCGCTTTGGTACCGGCGCTACAGATCTATATTTCCTTATATACACCATATATGATCTTTGTACGTACAAATCCACTCAAAGACACGTCAAACGCGTTAATTGGCAATTACCTTAAGCATATGTTTGGAAAGGTATTGACGTATAAGTAATACGGTTCTATAATAACACTTGAAGTGTTAGTAACTTCACCGCTTAACAAACATAATGAAACGAGCATAAACAGTGAAAGCGTCAACTAAAACAAAACTTCATCAGTGTAGGTTAAGCGGAAGACGTTCAATAAATTAAGGCCAATGATAGGACAGGTACAAACCGAGAACCTATGCAACTAAGTTACTGACTGAATTAATTATTTTACGGAGAACTCCGCCGAGACCATATATTTCTTACAAATTAAGCAACTTACGTTCCGGCGGCGCCCGGTATTGTGTTTCGGTACCAATCTATAAATAACGCGCAAACACAAAAGGCAATTCGATATAATGGAATGAAAATTGAACATGATTTATGTGTGCATGCGCCCGTGTGTTTGTGTTAATTTGGAATCGCTTCGCGATATTATGAATTATTACATACAAACCCAGCGTAATTGTAATTACTGTTCTACTTAACAAAAAGATTTCCACACAGATTAAAGCTTGTGGTGCAGAAATTTGCATTGTGTGCTTCGGAGATAATCCTATTTAGATTTCTTTGCGAAAGTAAAAAAAACTGTGGTTTAAATTGCAAATCGATTCTGCTATAAGAAACCAATTGTCAGCAGTAGCATTAAGCCATTCGCGGTTCGTATTATTTTTAGGTAAGTGAAGAAAAGGCTACAAGGTATGTACATGTTTGTATGCATTTACGCCATTTACGTACGTAATAGAGCGACTTATTATACAGTATCATTGTCAAGGCACGAAATTATATTTCATATATTTCATTACCATTCAAGGAGCATTGAAGGTGTAAATCCGTCTGAAGATTTCCTGGAATAACCCACACCTTTTGCTCTCGCACAAATGCCCTCGACTTGTCTCTACCCTCTCGACGATCAACTTGTGACTTCCCAGTAAAGTTGTATACAATTACAATTGAAGTTTTGACTCCATCAACAAATACATCTCGTTCATAGGATTTCTTATGTTGTGCACCGTTACCTATTTACCTTTTCTAGTATCAGTAACGGTACAAGGAAATGCACAGTGACCTATAGCCTTTATAATTCAAATGAAACTAATTGCGGCAACTGCCGAGTTAGGAGTGTTCTAAGCCCAGTAACAGCAACAATTATCGTTGTTTCATTTTGTGGATGCATAATTACTTATTTAATGAAGTCCGAAAATGCGTGCCATATGAAACGCAAGGAAATAATTGGAAACAGAATAAGGTTACAAACGTTCGATTTCCATAAAACGAAAACATAATTTTCATTCTTGTTAGCGTGTTCTTTCGAATACCTTACACCAATTTCCGAGTAATTTTCTTGGCCAAACAATAACTTGTTACAAAATTTATTGCGTAACACTTCCTCTACCAAGCTAAATTATTTTACGCATTTATTGCTTATAAATTGTAATATTTGAGGAGGAATTGGAGTAAAACACGCTCATATCTGGATTTATCGCTGACGGCTTCGTGATTGGCCAAATTGCCGATGAGCCTACGCGAAATTCGCATGAAAAAAACTTTTATTCTCGTGCGAAGGTTCGTAAGTAAACACGCCTCGCCCTACAATGGCCTCCGGTGGCGCTTTGTAATAAACTTTATGCCTTTATAAATGGAGCATTTTTTCTTCGCTTGTTTACATACTTAACAACATCAAATGTTTTATTAGTCCTGCATCAACAAAGTGGAGGAAGGAGAATCTAGACGGTATTCTTTTACATCTTTTTCTTGTAAGTTATTGTAAGGTGATGGGGTTGGTAAATATATAACAAGTTTATTGCAAATTGAGTATAAATATTTAATCTACGAAGGGAAGAGGGTACTAAATTCAAAATGGTCTGAACTCGTTTATTAAGATAGCAGCACTTGATGGTTAATAATTCGGAATGTATGGTAATTAATGTAACGAAAACATCAATAAATCACAAGAGCTCTTTACGGCTGTCTTAATTGTCAATGGCTATGCTGCATACGAGCCGATTACGTAGATCGTAGTTTAATTCTCATTTTTGAAGTCTAGATGGAAGAAATTGTAATCGATGGACATTGTCCGTCACCGTAATTCGGTTAACGCAGTTGAGGTAACCGCACCGGTTTAAATGGTACAATTATTTACGCGGTATTGTCTCATTACGTGGAAGATTTGTGTAAAGATTTGGAAGATGTTTCTTGCTCCCCGTATAGGTTCATAAAGTCAGAGTAACCTACGAGTTTTGATGACAGAGCGGAAAAACGCTCCAAGTACACTACCTCACAGGTGGTGTGGAAATGTGTGAATATTATGTAGACACTCTTTTAACTTTTAGAATGGCGATATCTTAGGAATGGCGATTCTTTGGGGAAAAAACGTACAAGGACCATTTTTGTAGATAATTTTATGATCTACAACTTTTTTCTGAACTATATGTGTGATAAAACATAAAAATAAAAAAAAAATCGAACATTTTTACCTTTTTCTAGCCTACATGGGATCTTTGGGGACTTTTTACACTATTTCTACTGGTGTACCAAAGGTCTCCACCAAAATTCGGCATTTTGTTATTTGAAATATCTATTTTGACCGGACTTTTAAAGATTATGTTTTTTGTTGCATATTAGCATTGTTATTATTCATTACCTAGGGACAATAATTAATTATCGCAAACGCGCATTTTTCACACAATCGTCAGTATATTCTGTGCATAGTAATAACAAAGTATCCGAACCGGTTGGTCTACTATCCGTATTATAATATTATCCTAGTTTGTGATGACTCTGTGGGAGACATTCGTGCTCCCCATATAGATTAGTAGTGTCAGAGTAGTCTGGCGAGTTTTATATTATTTTTCTGGTATCCAGAGTTTCTCTCTTGATTTTGTGTCTAGTAACCTTCTTCTATTTTGAGCATAGTCTTATCTTCGGGCATTTCTTATCTTCTATAGAAGGAAGAGTTTTTTTTAAATCACTTTGATTAACTTTCTTTTTCTCCAACTAAGTTTGCTCGTGCAAAGTATCAGACGCTTCGCATGTTACCAAAACCGACCCTTATTCTTTTCATTATATTATTCTCGTTCATCATTTCTTTTGCTTTTTTTTAGAATGGGGTCTTTTCTATTGTTTACCCTTACCCTTCATCTTCAGATGATTGTCTAAGTATCTTTTCATATATGTGTACTTGCTCCTTCTTCAGTTTTGTCTCTGCTGTCTTTTGTGCATTTTTTTACCGCTGCTTTGACATTCAAGCTGAAATCACCAAAAGTTTGTGCATTCATGGCTGTGAATCGAATTACAAAAACCTAATGCGATCCTTCAACAAAAATTGGATGGACTCTTGACGAATGCCCTCATTCTACATAAACTCGATTATTTATTCCACGATTTCCTTGTTCAGCAAGTGCCTTTCTGGTTTTTCTTCTTTTTTAATTGCTTCCAATCACCTACAGCGATAATTTTTTCTCCGACTATTAACGTCTTTATGAATACACGATCCGGTGTTTTTCCGTTCTTTCTTTTTACAATCTCAAGTGTTGTTTCTGTAGCTTTCTCTTCCGTGACGGTTTCAGCCTTTTTTTCGCTTGCCTACCTACTCTTTTATTGGAGTGGTTCAATTTTCCACCATCTGTAAACAATATTAGCTTTTGAGTCATCCTGTTGGTTACTTTAATTACTTCAAAGTGTTTCCTTCGTTTTCCGTTTTTCATCTCACTAATTACAACGGAATCCATCGCGTGCTGACGAACCATTTTTGATAGTATTCGTGCTGCTTCTTGAAGATAAGCAGTAGGGAAAAATAAAATCAAAATCAGATAATTCAGAAAGTTTTTAAAACCCAAAACACAACATTTGCACACAAGTTTACTGTAGTTTTCTATTCGCGGAAGCAACTATAAAATTAAGGCATTCAAACGTTTAAATTAAGAAATATTTGTAAAGTGAGAAAAATTCAGGAAATTTCTGAAAAGCACTTCGCTTCCAACTTTTCAATCCTCAGTTTCTGGATCCAGTGTGTTTTTCAAGTTCAACTCATGATATGTATTGTAACTGCCCGTTGTTTCCTTGAATGGGCCCTTAATTTGGCTAACTGACTGAATGTGCTTAGTGTGTTGGAAGTGTAGTTGGTACAAACTAGGAATGGGGAAATATGACTTCCGCTTTTCTCGTTCTTTTACCGTATATCGAAATCCGAAACCCATTTGTTAATGAGGTAGGAAGTTTGAATTAATTGGATTTTAGTCTGATCTTGGTATTGTAGTTTTTTATGTATCTTTCGTGTAACGAGCATTAAATACTAAATAGTCCTACTGATGAAGTACCGATCTCTTATGATATGTTAAAACTAGTTCACAAACCTTGATTGATACGTTGTACTTAGCTAGAACTCGTTTATCACGAGGCGATTACAGGATTGTATGATCTATAATCGAGTTCGGTAATTTTTAAAGTTGAGTAAATACAGAACTGTGTGAAAGTGGTAATTTCCATGTTAAAGTTAGCGATCATACTCTCTGTCTACGTATTTAAATTATGTAGCGTGTTGCCCTTTTAATGACTTTCGGAAATAGTAAGCTCCAACTTGTCGGCGATAACAGTAGGTAATTCCTATAGTTA